TTTTTTTTTTTTTTTTTTTTTTTTTTTGCAATTTGGTGGTTATAAAAATTAATCCTGGTTATAAAAATTAATCCAATAATATTACATATTTATATATTAAATATATGGTTTTTTTTTAAATGGTAAAAAGGAATATTAGGAATTTGAGGTTCCAAACTTTGTTTATGTCCTTATTTTTTCGATGTGATATGTTAAGGCCAACTATTTTGGATGTTTAGCAATTATAAAATTGTTGTGATTTTCAAAATTTCATTTTTTTTTTATTTATTGGCATGTCTAAATACTTTTGATGGTTTGGATATCAGAATCCCTATTTTATTTTTTTTTTGTACATTTACTTATTTTATCAGACATGTGTATAATCCATTGATATTCTAGGTTCGGATATTTCATAAATATTGATATATTAATAATTAATAATCTACGTTCGGATATTCCATAAATATTATCTAACTAACTTAGTATTTTAATATCACTTGTACTAATATAACCTTTAGTTCATATATCCCTGACTTTTGATTAGCTTCTTTCAATTAGCTACAGAATTATAAAATATTTTAAAAGTTGATAACTTTTATTTTTCTTATCGGTTTTTACATATATAATATCAACTTAATCATCTTTTAATTATCTTCGATTTGACATCATATTGTATATATGAAATAAATAAATAAATAAATAATATTTATCTTTATAATAATAAAAAATAATAATATTTATTAAAATTCATTAGAAAAATAAAATTATTTCTCAATTGATATATTTATGTTTAATATAGTTATATGTTTGATGGGTCTTTTTCCAGATCCGGGACGATCTGATGAGAATGGGCTCAGATCTGGAGCGAACCGGTGAGGGTGAACTCAGATCCGACTTGATGGCTTCTGAACTGCTACCGGACCGCGGGAACACCTGCAAGAACTCAACGCCGGAGGGGTTTCCGGCGTAGAGCCTCCGACGCTCAAGTCAGTATGTGAACGGAATGAGGAAGTGATATGAGGGAGGCGCAGCAATGGAGGAAAGTATGGAAAGGATCAAAGTTAGGGTTTAGGGCTACCTCTTCTCCTTTATATAGGAGGGAGAATTTACCTGAGATGCCTAAAATGCCCCAAGTCGGTGGTCCTGAAAAGTCCAAATTGCCCCGGTCGATTCACCTCCCCTCTCTTGCTGAGTCATCCCCAAATTCCTTTTTATCCATAGGTGGACAAAGGGGTTCTAACGAATACACCCTGTATATAGTCGACTGCATGTTCTATATGTCGAGATATGGGATGTCGACCTCGAGCGCTCCTTCCACCATTCATGTTCATACTGTTCGGGAGTCGTCTCCACAAGTTCTTGATTATACATCGACTTCTAGGAAGGTCGACTGACTCAAGCCGACCTTCGGAAGTCGACTTATGTCGTCTCTTAGAATATCCGACACTCTGCTTTATGGCCGGGTCGACTTTGGATGAAGTCGATCCTAAGCACCTTCCCGTCCCGACTCGACGCGCGGGTAGAAGGAGCCTTTGGATCGGTATATCTTTAAAGGGCTATATCATCTAGTCCCCCCCATAAATTACTCTAAGCAGTCGACTGCTTAAGAGTAAATTTAACGGTTAAGAGTCGCCCCTGGTCGACTCGAAGGACCTGGTCTTCCTTCATTATGGCGCTTGTGCCTCGTCTTGTATTTGGGATATACCCCGTTATTCGAACAGGGTACTTTGTCTTTCACGATTTTTTCCAGATAAGTCTGACAACCCCCTTTTTTTGAATTTCAAATTTCGAAGGCTCTTGAAGTGACG